GACTTATAAAGATATGGGATCACAGGCCACTCATGAGAATGAACTGAAACAGCAGCACCAAGAGCTTTCCTTCTTTCTGCTTGTGTAAGTGCATAATCAGACTCAAAAAGAAGAATTACCGTACTATATGTAATACAACTGGGACTAATGGCAAAACTCTTCTACACTGCTGATGTCAACAACGACACTAGAAAAAAATATTCAAACTAAAAGAAATGCTTCATAAAGATTTAAGTCATTGGATTCATTTCATCGGAATAACAAGAAATGTTAAGACAGAGGTAACTGACACAGCATTATTACAGACAATTAAAAGTATTAGGTATTTCCACAAGAAAATTCTAAAAAAAACCCTACTTCAGACTAGAAATAAAGCCCAAATTCAGCAGTAAAGATGCTAACCATATTAACAAACTAAGTGTAGAAGTAGATAATCCTACCTCAGAGTTCTCAAAATCAAACCCAGATACTTTTCTGAAAATGTGTCTTAGTCAAAAAAACCCCATCAGGCTCAACACGATAACAACTGAGCAGAAAGTAAACGTCTAAGATACACAAAAGTTCAAACTAAACAATCTAGAAGCCACTTAATTTCTTAACATATTGAGAAAAACATAATGATGTTTTGGTAGGGAAAATGCCCCAGCATAAAATTTAACTCTTGAATAGGGGAATAATTACAAGGTAATTAGGGAAAAAAAAAAAAAAAAAAAGGGGGGTGTGTAAGATGGCAATAGAGGGGAACAGCAAAGTCTTTCTTAAAGCATTTCTCAGGAACAAAAAGAGTCATCACTAACACAGGACTCCACTTGACCTTTCAGTTACTATTTCTATTTCCATATCTCTGAAAATTTAGTTTCACTGGGCCAAAATTTTATGAAGTAAAAGCATTTAAAGAAACACTTCTTTAACTGTTCTGATTTCTCGTCCTTACATTCCTAAAGCAGAATCAAGATTTAAATCATGTAGATGCAGTCCTGGGCCTTGTATGATGCACAGCTAATCAGAAAAAGATTATTTACTGTAGTATATGATCTCACTGCGCTTCTATCCAGAACTGACTATACAGGATCACCAAATCTGATGCCTCGGACACTGTCTGCCCCACATGCAGTAGCCACTATCTACAGAGAATGCCCCTCCTTTCAAACCTGGAAGTCCACAGCTTAAGAAGGCTGATATTCTAAACTAGAATGTGAAAAAACACAGCAGTCTTAATACATGGAAACAAGAGTAATTGAAGCACAACATATTTGAACTTCCTCGGTATTATAAGAAACTTGGAAAGAACTTGCCTGCCACCCCTCCAAAACCCAAAACACTCCCTCCCAAACAACTCTGGCATTGCTCCAATTCTGAATAAAACAAAAAAACCCAGAAACCAAACAAGAAGCAAACTCACAACCCAAAAACCCCCAGCTTTCTACACACAATTAGACAAGAAATTAGTTTGTATTATTTGAACAAGCCTATCATCTCCAATGTAATTCTTCACAGAAAGAATTCTACACCAAAAGAAAAAAAAAGAAAATAACCAAACCTCTGGCTCTAGGACTCATCAGAAACATTTGTTTGTAATGACAGAAAAATATTGTTGTCCTACAAAACACTACTAAGAATTCATTTAATGATACAGCATCTGCTGATCTAGTCTTGCTGAAGGAAACCATGCAACAAATACACAAGAACATTACTCAGCAGATCAGAGAAATTATGTGATGGTTGGTAATACTTGCAAAATTATAAAAATCAATCCTATCTCATCTTCAAATATACCAGGATGTAAAGGCCAGAAAAAGAGCTAAGCAGAAGAGAAACTGTTCAAAAGAACAAGTGGAATGAATTATACAAAGCTTTCCCAAGAAGTATGAGGAGTTTTCAAACCATTATGGTATGGCTCTGTAACAGCCTTCAAATCCAAGTCCCAAAGAGCCAAAATTCTTATTTCTTTGAGGATGCAGTTTGATCAGATGATGACTATAATTACTAATTAAAAATTGGGACAAGATATCAGTTCTGTGTTCTGAATGCTGCATGCTGGATGTTCTGAAAAACACTGGGCCAGGAACTAGATGGCTGAAGTGTTACATTTTGTATTATTTATGTATTTCACATTACAGAGCAACAGGGATAACACTGTCAGAACTGCAGTGATCTGTACTCTTAGTTATGAGAAGAACAGATTTTACCATAGCTTTTTATAATATAAAACCCTCAATTTTCTAGTAGTTGCATTCTAATTTTAAGAAATGGAATATATAAAAATGAAGATCTACACTTAGAAAGTAATTAAGAATAACTGTGTCTCTATTTTCTCCCATTTTCTAGTTAAAAAACCATGACAACACTCTTTAACCAGAGATAGTACATGCAGAGCCATGTAATGATACTCTGCTACAGCCTTAAGAATATCTATAAAGAATAAAAAAAAAAGCAGCTTCCCAAACCTATTTATTTATCTGAATATGGATCCACCACTTCTGTTTTCCCTTTTGATAATAAATCAAGAACATAGCCTTTCAAATAAATTTTCAGCACAAAAATCAACATGCAGATGACCTTATACCTAAGTCAATTAACATGTCATCTAGTTCTTCCTTATAAATGATTATGGTAGATAAATGTAAGCAAAAATAACCCTAGCACTGCAATGTAGAGTTGCTTACACAGTGTTTTCTTCAGTGCTCTCACCTGATGGTTCAGACTCAGCTGACTATACAAGAAACAATTCTTCTGTAGACTTACACTTTATACAAAGGTATCACACACATGCCAAGACATATACAAAAAGAACAATTTTAAAGAAACTTCTCTCGCTTCAGTTCTTCAGAACTAACTGAAAGCATTTATACTTACCTAGATGTAGAAGTGTGAACTGTGCTGCCAATTCCTTTGCACCTTCTACTGTTGTACAGAGTTTGTCCGGCATGAAATAACTCTGGGAACCATCTGCAATACTAGGAATAACCACCTTGAACACCAAGAATATTTTCCCATCCTGATTTGTGGTTGAATACAAGTAGTATTCTGGTGGTGTCCAGTTATTTTTATTGCAGAAATAATCCAGATGCATCACTGCAGAACTGAAGTGACTGGATTTTAAAGAATACACGCTAATTGGAGTAAGCTTTATGCCTGGGAAAAAAGGGTACGTGCATCTTTCAACTTCAGAAGGGCCTGGACTATGCTGACCATTAAGACGAACTGAAAGACTTGCTGGTTTCCCTAAAGATTTTTGATGACCATCTCCTTTGTTAGGAAGCCCTAAGAGATTTTCAGAACCAGGACTTAGCTGACCATTAAAATGTTGCTTCCAAACACTTTCTTTGTTAACTGGCTTTGCCAGTGTTACCTCAATACTAGCTCCATCAATGCACTTTCCATTCATTACAGACATAGCAGCAACTGCATCTTCACGGTGGAAAAAGTGAACAAAAGCATAGTCTCTCAGCTTCTTTACACGTTCAACTACTCCTGGCTTGAACTTGTTGAATTCAGCTTTAATTGTGTCCTCTGTAGTAGACAGCATTAAATTTCTTACATATAATACTTTAACTCTCTGCATTGCTTCTTCATCAACTTCTTTCTCAGGGTCTGCCCAGTCTACCTGAATGGTATGACCCCAGAGCTGGAATGTTCCTACAGCAAAGAAGCATTACATCAATAAGAAATATGCAATAGAAAACAAAATCATTCTCATCAACTACCTCTATAAAAACATGATGCATGTCACATGAAACTGGGTTTTGTTGCCTGCATCTACTTAAGCAAAATATGCAAAATATTGCTACTTTAAATTATTAAAGAAAATAAGACTCTGAAAAAATTCAAAGGTTCAAAATCTCTACCCTTTGTGTTCACCATAACCTGTCAAAACACACTCTGTGATTTTGTGACATGCATATATAAAGCAACCATAAAGCAACATATTATTTTACTACTTAGTAAACACAGCCTTTTTAATAATATTACCACTTTAAATAGTAAGGTCAACAACTGGAAAAAGTCATCTAAATATATATACACACACTAGTGCAAGCTTTATGTAGCAGCAAACACCAAAATCATAAACTAAAAAAAAAAAAATCCCACCTTGTTACTCATTTCAAGCCAACATTTTGCATATCACACAACTACTTTATTTTACATTCAGCGATCTGGCCATATTTCTCCCATTACTTTACAAGGCCTGTATAAGTCTTATGTAACACTCCTTCCTAACACTCTATCACCAATTAATGCAAGACTTCCCTACATCTTAGCCTTAATAAATACAGGGAGTTTTGTCATTCATTTCAGCAACACCAATGCTATATTATCCATTTTAATGACTTTGCTTCTCCAACTATGTTGTTTCATTTCTTCCCTATTTAATTTCTCTTCTAGAATTCCCCTTTTTAACTGTACCTTTACCTATTCCCTCCTCTTTGTCTATTTTATCCCTTTTACTTTCCCACCCTCAAAATGTATAAAATGAGGTGCAAAGAAAAAGTCATCTTCTACTTGTTAAACTCTTAAAATTATTTTCTAGTAAAAGATTAAAGACCTACTTTCAAACATTTTTAAAATATGAAACATCAATAACATCATTCATGACACTCAAAGGAAATAAGGGACACATTCCAAGCATGATATTTTTTAAGCTTGGCTTTAAGAGAATTCATGTGCAGGTACTAGTTTGTGCTAATGAAAACTGGATGTGTGCCCAACAAACAGATACCCTGGTATACATTACAGTAACCTGTGTTTTATAAAAAGAGATGTGTGCTCTTTCATTCTCAGAACTACTTGAATTTCATCTTCTTTAAAAAAAAAAAACAAAAAAAACAAAAAACACACACCAAAAACAAAACAAAACAAAAAAAAACCAACACAAAACCCCTGATTCATGAACCAAAAAAGTTTACCTGAAAGGCATTACTGTATATTTTAACTCTCAAAATACCTTAAAGAAAGGAAAATAGTGATGATCCACCACACCATGTCCCCACATAATGGAGAGAGACACTCCCCCAAAACCTCAATTTATTTATGATTAGGTTTACCTGGGATTAGACGCCTTCTAGCCATTGCAGCTGCTCTGTGAGATTCATATTCCACAAAAGCAAAGCCACGATTTTTAGTTTTGTCAGCGGCATTTGGATAAACAATGACATCTACCACTCCTTCTGTAACTTTTTTCATTTCATTCAGTATTTCTTCTTTCTTCTTCTCTTTTGGAATTGCTCCAATAAATAGTCTGCAGTTGTCCAAGCTTACGCAGACACCAATAAATTTCCCTGGACGAATTTCGTAATTATTAAGAATCTTGATGGCTAGCTGGGCTTCCTCTTTAGCAGTGTACATCACAAAAGCATATCCTCGATTCTCACCACTGAATTCCATCATCAGCCTGAACTCATAGATCTTCCCAGCTCTCTCGAAAACAGGAACTAATTCATCTTCATACATATCACGAGGAATCTTACCCACAAAAACTTCACATCCACGAGGTGGTGGAGGACCTTCCCAACCTTAAAATAAATTATCCAACAACAATCTTAGTACAAATGCCAAATAGGCACTCCCTCTGTTTGCCCCCCAATTTGGAGGTGGGAGTTAATTATTTCTTTTTAGTCTTACCTTAAAACTAGCATATTATCATCCATTATTTAATTCTAATTTTTGTTATGTTTAGATAAAAACCCGCCATTAGCCCACGATTTGTATTTCTTTTATTTCCATCTTCTGGGTTTTTTTCAGTGGAATCTGTATGACAGCCCACTGAACCTAGCATTATTTAAAGCACTGACAGATTTGATGTAAGAGTCTACACTTCGATCACTTTTCGCCCCTTAAAATTATATGTTAGTTACAACTGATAGGTGATAACCAAGAAAGAACTTTTCTATTTTCTATTCTAACATTTTAAAGTTGCAAAAGTTTCCTGCACTTCTTGACCATATTTTAAGAAATTTTGGTCAGGGTGCCCGTGCAGATTTATTTTCTTCCTGGACATCATTCAAAAGGTCCAAGCATTTTGCTTCCACCTTCTTCATTCATCCACTAAAATAGGACTCCCTAAGGAAGGTAGGATATGGAGCCATGCTTTCTTCTATAGCCAAAAAACCTGAACAAAACAGACCACAGGTTTCACAGGCTGGAGCTGGATGGTAAGAAAAAGGAAATGTAAAAAAAATCCACAGAACAAGTAAGTCCCTAGTTCACATCTGAAAGTTACAGGAAGATCCATGCTTCTGTCCTTAAACCAAGGACATTCACACACTCTTTTATATCTCTGCCACATAACGCTGAAAGGTATGTTCAACAGATAATGTAAAAATGCATATGTATATTTAAAAATGTGGAGTTATGATCTGCAAATATGGCACAGCATTTTCCCAAAATACGCATTTTTTAAAAAAAGTTTGGCTGTTTTGAGGTTTTTAAAAATCAAATTAGACAAATCAGGCAGAAGTTTCAAAGGCAGACAAACAGTTACATCATAACTAACAGCTTTTTCTAAAGTTTTGACTAGAAAGGTTCTCCGCAGGAGAGAGCAAGGAGTACAAATCCAGTAGAAAAACCCCACAAAATTTAGTAAGTACTAGTATGAAATAACAAAGCATAAGGAGTTAAGGTGAAAAATAATTACTATTGACAAGTTAAAAAAAGAACATAATTAAATATTCTACTTGTCTTGAAGTTCAGAATAAATTGTATTTAGGTGATTTTTTAATTAACTTCAATCTTTTTCCGTCATGGAAGTATCATCAAAGGGCACATAATTTACTCGTAACAAAAATGTAATGGAATTGGGGAATGTTTGCCTTCTCAGAGAAGAAATTTTCATCTGTAAGCTGTACACTAAAAACTACATGGTACACAGGGAAGCTACATGCATTTGGAGCCACACTGCCATGGTTTATCTAAGAAAAAGTCCAGCTTTGCTTCATAAAGCATTCAACATCTTTATAAACATTTATAACTACTTCAGCTGAGGTCTGACAGGACATGGCAAGTTTGCAAGCTAGTACTGCCATCACTCACATCATGCCAGTCAGTTGCCCCCAGAAAAAAACATAAACCGACAGTACACCATTTAGGGGCTCCAAAGACAAAAGCAACTGAACAACTTAATTAGGACAAAAGGGGAGGAGGCTATGCTTGATAGTGTAGGGAAGTCATGAAATTAAGTAACAATGTTCATTTATTAACTAGGCAAACTTTTACCATCATCCTCAGTCTGGTAAATGATTCAACAGTGACTCTCACTAAGTAAATGCCACCTAACATTCAAAAAGCTCACCCTTCTTATTTTAAAGCTGCCTACTAAATTAGCACTACAGCACATCACTGCCAGCTGGGATTAAGTTATGACTCCTGACTTAAAGCAAACCTGGTCTGTGCACATTTGCCAATGAGCAACATGTATTTAACAGAGCAAACATGGAACAGTTAACCAAAAGCACCGTTCCTCAAGTAGTTACTGACTGACCAGAGTTTCCTCGACTGGTACTTGAGTCATCATCATATTACAGTCTAGAGAAGTGGTCTGTGCAGCGGGTGGGGAACTGGCTGACAGGCCGCACCCAGAGGGTGGCCGTAAATAGCTCCTTTTCAAACTAGCAACCTGTCACAAGTGGGGTCCCCCAGGGACTGATGTTGGGCCCAACTCTGTTTAATAGCTTCAGAAGTAATCTGGATGATGGGATCAAGTGTGTCCTGATGCAGTTTGCTGACAATACCAAACTGAGTGGGGAAGTGGACACTTGGGAAGGGAGAGCCACCCTGCAGGATGACCTGGATAGGCTGGAAGAGTGGGCTAACAAGAACCTCAGTAAATTCAACAAAGACAAGTGTAAGATCTTGCTCCTGGGAAAACATAATCCAGGAGTGCAGCACAGGCTGGGATCTACCTGACTGGGGAGCAGCTCTGTGGAAAGTGACCTGGGGGTCCTGGTGGACAACGAGCTCCACATGAGTGACCAGTGTGCTGCAGCAGCAAAGAAAGCCAACGGGATGCGGGGTTGTATCAACAGGGGCATCACCAGCAGAGATAAAGAAGTCATCATCCCACTCAGCACTTGTCAGGCCACACCTGGAATACTGTATTCAGTTTTGGTCCCCACTATACAAAAAAGATGTGGACAGGCTGGAGAGGGTCCAAAGGAGGGCCACAAAGGTGATCAAAGGACTGGGAAACCTGCCATGTGAGCAAAGGCTGGCAGAATTGGGCTTATTCAGCCTTGAGAAGGCTTAGGGGAGACCTTATCACCATGTTCCTGTGTTTAAAGGGTGGCTACAAAGAAGATGGAGACTCCCTTTTTAAAAGAGTCAAATGGAAAAGATATGGGGTAATGGGTACAAGTTACCTGGGGAGATTCTGATTGGACATGAGAGGAAAATTTTTCACAACAGGAACAATCAGCCAAATTGGAATAATCTCCCCAGGGAAGCGCTGGATTCCCCCACATTGGACGCTTTTAATATTCGGCTGGACAGGGTGCTGGGCCATCTTGTCTAGACTGTGCTTTTGCCAAGAAAGGTTGGACCACATAATCCTTGAGGTCCCTTCCAACCTGGTATTCTATGATTGATTCTATGATCACTGGAGGACAGATTAAAGGATTATTTTTTTTTCAGCAGCAGCTCAAGTAATCAAACTTAAATTAACATTATAATCCTCCCACTGCTAGTGAGATCTATGCCATCTCAGACTTTCTTCCATATAATTCTAATGACTTACATACCTAATAACATCAATATGTCTGCAGCAATCTAAGCAGAGGACCCAAAGCAATGAAAACTCATTTTCTTAACCTTGTTGTTTTTTTACACCACTCTTCAGATACATTTTCCACAAGTGGCATAAATGATCAAGAACTATGATGCTGCCAATTGAAGCAGAAAAAAAATATATAATTTTTAGGGCAATTTTGAAGACAGATCAGCTGCTTGCTCTGGATAGCATGCCAGTCAGAAAAACAAGATGGTAACAGGAAAACAGAACCGACAGTAAGACTGTCTCCCTTGGCAGCAACACAAGCTTATAGAAACCACATCTTAAACAAGCAAAATTCACACTGAAACTCTTCATTTACAAACAGCCATTGTAATTTCTTACAAGCCATCTCAAACATTCAAGTCTCATCTGGCCTAGAAAACCATTTATAGTAACAGGGTAATTTCCAGCCTAAGTAAGTATGAAAATACATGAAGATTTAAAGGAGAGGTGTGTGTGTGTATATATATATATATATATATATATATAACTAATGTCAATGAACAGCTTTATGGAATCTATGGAATTTTATGGGATTTATCGAATACCTTGCCAAACACATCTAGTTTCAGAGAAAATTAACAAATTAATAAAAGTAACTTCACCAAATACACTTAATACTGCCTAATGTTCTAATTAAAAATAATAATTATAATGTAAAAAAACTATTAAATAATTTAAGAACAGGCTGAGCCCTCAGGAAGTAGTAAGTGATGCCCTGCAGTTCTTTTCCCAGTGCCACCTTCCAAAAATTTCATGGGGCTTCCCTATTTTATATAGGCTAGTAAAAGTATGTATGTAATTTTAGACAGTAAAAAACTTCCTAAGAAAAATAATTTTGATGCAGCTGTATCTTAAACTACATATACCAATGAATAATACAGTTCCTGCTCACAAGCATGACTTATAAAGATATGGGATCACAGGCCACTCATGAGAATGAACTGAAACAGCAGCACCAAGAGCTTTCCTTCTTTCTGCTTGTGTAAGTGCATAATCAGACTCAAAAAGAAGAATTACCGTACTATATGTAATACAACTGGGACTAATGGCAAAACTCTTCTACACTGCTGATGTCAACAACGACACTAGAAAAAAATATTCAAACTAAAAGAAATGCTTCATAAAGATTTAAGTCATTGGATTCATTTCATCGGAATAACAAGAAATGTTAAGACAGAGGTAACTGACACAGCATTATTACAGACAATTAAAAGTATTAGGTATTTCCACAAGAAAATTCTAAAAAAAACCCTACTTCAGACTAGAAATAAAGCCCAAATTCAGCAGTAAAGATGCTAACCATATTAACAAACTAAGTGTAGAAGTAGATAATCCTACCTCAGAGTTCTCAAAATCAAACCCAGATACTTTTCTGAAAATGTGTCTTAGTCAAAAAAAACCCATCAGGCTCAACACGATAACAACTGAGCAGAAAGTAAACGTCTAAGATACACAAAAGTTCAAACTAAACAATCTAGAAGCCACTTAATTTCTTAACATATTGAGAAAAACATAATGATGTTTTGGTAGGGAAAATGCCCCAGCATAAAATTTAACTCTTGAATAGGGGAATAATTACAAGGTAATTAGGGAAAAAAAAAAAAAAACCAAAACGTATCTACTGAAGATATTCCTCTTCTGTTCAAGTATCTTCACTCAGGACAATATAAAATTCAATCATTTAGGTTTTATCCATTTATTTCACAAACTTTTGGCCTCTGCAGTGCAAGATAAACCCACTAGTTTCCAGACATTTGTTTAAGCATGGATTAAAGTTGAACAATCTTGCAACATCAGACCTACTAAAAACTGAGAGTAATTTATTTTGGAAAGCAAATTTAAAGTGCTGAACAAATGCTGTTCCTTGCATTACCTGTGAGCACTACTTGTTTTCTATAAATCACATGTGCAGCAGTTTCAGAAGTATTTTAGCAGGGGATAGGGCTATTACAAGAGATTTATTATTGCTAAATTACTTAATCTCAGTATCAGAATGTTTCTGAAATAGCATTTAATACACAAGAAAAAATTAAGTCTTACAATGCAGTAATCCTGGAAAGTATTTACTACATCGTCACTGTTTACAAAGGCAATGTATGTATTCCATATGCTGCAGGACTTGATTTTACTTTTTGTCACTGACTTTAGTGGAAATATAATCAGGCATATAGAAAAACATTTCAGTGACAAAGTTTATTTTCACTGCAGCAATAACTTTATAGTTCAAGTGAGCAAGTCTCCCATTTGCACCATGACTATAAATCCCAAACCACCATAAATTAACCGAGAAAATTACTGTAGTTTTTATAGCCTCAATACTGTCTCTGTTAATAAAAATCCCAGAGAACGTTATTTTCTGCTTGCACATGAATACATACTCAACAATTTCAGTTTTCAGTGTATTAAGTGAAAGAACTGTAACACACGAAATAATAAACTCTGTACTTCACATTATATCCACTGAATGATAAAAGCTCCAGAAGCTGAGCATTTATGCTTTTTTCTTCTCTGAATGAAGGCTGGGAGGCAGGGGGGTATGTGTAGATATGAAGAGCAGATTAGTCAACTCTGAAAACAGAATGGGTTAGATTACTTTTACTGGTGCTATCTCAGAGATCAGAGGTTTGTAAAAAAATGGTTTGGCCAATGCAAGTGGTAAGACAAGAAATAAAGTGGGTTATGCCTGCTATTACCAACCTGTTTTGCCCTTTTCAAGCGTGTTCTCAGTCACACAGAACATACTCAGTATTTTCAGCTCCATGTTTGTTTTGCCACCTGTCAACTTTTGCTGCTTTTAAAGCTGTGACTTCTTAAATCTACCAAGAGCAAATGTTCAATGTAGTCTAGCACAAGAGATCTTAAACTGCTGGAAATCGCAAAGCTTATTAGGGCCCTGCATGTGTTGTGTTTCTTACACGCTTTCCCTAAGCATCTACTACTGGTCACTGTCAAGATACTGGACATGAGACTACACAAATTTTCAGTTTGATTCAATAGAGGTCTCCTTACATAAAATAAACTCCAACTTCGTAATCTCAAAAGAAATGCTTACCTGGTGGAGGACCACCAAATTTTCTTTGCCCATTTTCTTGAACCATGTTGTATCCAGTCTTCTCCATTAGAGCCAGTAAAGCAGCCTCATTCTGAGTGCCACTTCGCATTTTGCCACATCCATTTGCTGCAGCTTTATTTTCCTCATGCATATCTGCAAAAGCTTCAACAGAACATTGCAGATATTTCAATTCAGACAATTCTAAGCTGTTACATGTATACAGAAGCTACAAAAGCACAGGAAAACAACTTATGCTACACTTGCCTACTTACTGTGACTTTGTTTAATGTAGGGCTTCAATCCTACCTCCAACTACTATCATCTGTATATCTGCTTTCAAAACATTGTTCTGTAGTTGCCATAATCTTGAACTTTAACCAGCAGTTATACATTCTATATTCAAACTTTCATAGGTGGCATCACAACTATTTTTTAAGTATGCTGCCCTTCAAGTAGAATAATGAATTCTCTCATAAAACGAGTTATCAGTTGTGTAGAGACCTGTATGTTACTTTAAGTGACAAGTTCCACTTTCTTACAATATTTTATAGAAATATCAATTACTTTAAAACTGTATTTTTGTACAAAAATACTTAAGAAATACACTAACTTCACACCTAATTAAAACAAATAATTCATGAACAAAAGTAACTTAATTAAAACCAATATATAATACAACTAGGCAGAACTGTCTGGCAAAACTAAGGGGTTGAAGTAATCCCACCTCTGGGGTCCTTATTTTCCTGACTTTATCTATCTTCACAATTTCCAAAACTGAGAAAGTTTCTTAGTATGGCTGTTGCTACTCTACTCACTATTTCCCTGGCATGCCAAGATCTCCTACAACAGCTTTAGGTTTCTGTCATCCAGGTGATAGCAAACAACCACACCAAAGAACCCATCCAGTAATTACCAATTTTACTAGTCAAGCCCCTAAAAAAAAAAAAAAAAATTAACTTTCAAGTTTTAGATTTCTTTGTTCACTGCCTATTTTTCTTTCCCTTATTTATGTCTTCTTTTCCCAAGATTTTCTGCCTTAAGTTCTGCAACACTTAGACAAGCAATCCTCTTCAACACTTCAATCCTTTGTCCAAATGGTACATCCAAGCGCTGTAACACTCATTCTCCAGAATAAATGGTGCCAAAAAAATACCACCAGAAAAATAAGCTGCAACTCCTATTTGTTCTTTAGTGTCCCTTATATTTTTCCGTTTGATTTGTCTTCAGGATCAGGCTCCAATAAATAATGTCCTGAGATACCAGCAGTTTCTTTTTTCCAAGAAAAAGTTAAAACCAGCTTAAATTTCACACAAACGTTTCTTGTCAACCCACTATTATTTGCTGAATAAAGTCTTCATAGTTAAGGTCTCAATTAATAAAATATCTGGAAAGCAGAAAATAAACTAAATCAAGGACTGTAAAGAGTGCATGAGCATTCACGTGATCTGTCTCTTCATTAGACTTCCACTACTCAAGTTACCAAGAAACCAGTTATCTCAAGTGCTGCCGTAAATTCAAAACTGTTGCACTGAACCGAACACTGCCGAAAGGGAGGGAAGAATTCAAAACCAGTTGCAATTGTGCCCTTTTTCTACAGTCTGAAGCTGAAGCCACCTTCTCCTCTTCAGCTTGTCACTTCTGGTGCTTCTGTACTAACTAAACTATCGCTTTGAGCTTGATTATCCAAATGTGCACCATTATTTACACATTTTACCTGACAGCTAAGTTAACTCCTTAACCCTAGCAGAAACAAGAATTAGTAAAAATAAAGCCATACATAGTAGTTAATGTACCAAATGTTGTCCCACCCTTCTTTACATATAAAGGTTTTCAGATGATCTCTGGTCACACTAAACAAGTTTTTGCCTCCATGCTCAAAACATTAATCATTCCCATGGTTGCTAGTCCTCTTATTCCTCATTTACACATGCCACTGAACACCACGCCAGTATCACAAATTAAAAGTGACTTTGCATAAATTGAAGTTTTTCAAGATTATACACTGTATTTATGGAGTGATTAAGCCTCCATAAAGTGGACTTATCCCCTCCCCTACCAGCTTAATCATTTCAAATGTGCTTTCAATCAAGTAAACAGACTCTACACATCCCTTAATTAGAATTAAATACAGTTTTTTCCATCCTAGAAAAAGACTTTTGGTGGGGATACATATATATTTTGTCTTTTCTACCAAGCTGGCACTCATTTTGAGGCAGGAATCCATGAAAGCAACTGCTCTGATCGTTAAAAAAGCCAAACCCCAGACAACTCCTGGCTTCATCAAAATGAGATTCCAGAAAGGAAACAGGGTAAAGCACAAAAAGATCCCCTACAGGCAACAGCAGAAACAGCATGACTCATCTGCTACAAATGGCGTCTCATCACTTTCAGCGAGGTTTCACAGCTTACAAACTGCATGAAGATTATGTTATCAGGAATTCTCTCCGCAGTTACAGGCATAAGAAGGTATGGAAACAGACCACAACAAAGTTAGGTAAAGGGAGAGAGATATTAATTTTTCCTTTGTCTCAGTGAGTTCAAACATCCAGCCAAAACAAACGTTACCTATAAGAGCAGCAAGGAGACACCAAATTAAAATTGTGGGAGTTGATGAGGGTGCCCACACCGCTCCCAGAGGTGAAAAAGCACTGAGGAGTTAAGAGACCAGTGGAGCAAGCAAGCGAACCAGGGACAAGCCCCAAGGCAAACACGCCACGTGAGGAGGCCAGACGGCATGTAGGGCAGGAAAAGAAAAGAGACAGAGGAACAGCAGTCGCGGAAATACCCTGCGCTATTCTCGCCGACTTGCACGTTGAGAGTGGCCGCCACAGCCCCGTCTCCTCAGGCCCCTTCTCCTCGCAGTCCCGTCTCCACACGCCCTCGTCTCCAACACCACCTCGGCCTTTCCTCACAGCACAGCAAAGGCCCGAAGCCGCCTCTATCACCAGGGAGGCGAGGCCGCGGCACAACCCCCCGATCTCCCGTTAAGTGCCCGACACCACAGCGGCAGAGGAATCTGGCACCTCCACCCCCGTGGCCACCGCTTTCCCTCGCTCTGCCTCGCCTAGCCAATCACCAGACGGCCAGGGCGGGCACAGGTATAATTGACAGACAACACCAGCCAATCATAGCAAGGCAAAGGGCGGTACGCGGCACGCGAGCTCTTTTCAAAAGGCGCCGGTTGGGCGAAAGGGTGCCGCTAGTGCGCGTGCGGCAGCTGCGCGAGGGGGGGAGAGGCTGCCGCCGCCATTAGAGCGTCGCGTGCTGGCGGCGCCGTGTGAGGGAGGGAGGCGCTGCCGCCAGCCCAGAGCTCCCCCTGCGGGCGGGTCTGCTGCCTGCCCCTCCCTCCGTTCTAGAAGGAGGGCCCACTGTGGAGCTCGCCTTTGGCTTTTCAGAATTGAGAGGTGTTTTTTTGTATCTTTTTGGCTTCTGTCCACTCTTGCAAGGTATATTTGGGTCTTTAGGATATCCTCTAGCGTGCACTTGTGCTTTAGAGAGCATTTGGTGTCGTGTGGGTCTGTGTTGTCAGTAATGCCTAAGTGAAATAGGCCTGGTTTCAATACCTGTTTTGTTAATATCTCAATCTCTTAAAAATGAACCAGGTTAGCTGAACAAAAGCTACAGGCACTTTGTAAGACAATTGGGCTGGAGGCCTTGCAGTTTTAGCACTGCTCCTGAACTCCTGTCAGCACTTAGGGGTCACAGCTCTGCAGCTGCAGCATGGGACATTGACAGGCACACATCAAATAGACCAGGGTCAATTAGGAGTATGGGATTAGTTTGTGAGTTCTTCAGTTCATTGTTCTGAAAGTGTTGTGGCCCATTCTCCCTATCTAGGAAATGAAAGTCTCTCAAAGCCAAAATACTTTCACCAAAGACTTCTTCCCTTCCCTTTTCTGAAGATTTAAATGCTTAATTGTGCTTACTAATAAGGCAGAGAATCACAGAAATTTTAACTTTGGGACATGCAAATTCATCTTTATTATGAATATGTTTCAGAGCTTTTGGCAATCTAGTTTTAAATGTGTATTGCCATAAAACTGTCACATTATATTAGACTTTTACCTATTCAAATTTGTTTATTTTTCAAAGAGAAAGATTATTATGCTTTCATTAATAATGGCATGGTAGACTAATGTATTTTACAAATTACATGCCTCCATTTAAAAGTTCTGGATGGCCAAGGTAACAAAACTATTCAAGTCTTCAAGATTAAATTTCATCGCCTTTTCATTTTAGGTGTCTACTTGGTTTTGATCACATCAAAATCAGCCACGAAGCCTCTTAATGAATTTGGGGTATATCAAGTTAGATAAGGTTTGGGGCATTTTGACTACAGCTTGGTATCCCTGTTACCTTGGACACTGCTCACTCCCTGTCAGAAAGCTCCATATGTCTCAGCTGTTAACACTGGTGGGAGGCACTGAAAGAACGTGGACAGTCTCTTCTAAGTGGAAAAAAAAAAAAAACAAAAACAACAAACCAACAAAACTCCTCAGCAGTTTCTTTGTATTTTGTGCAAGTGACATCTTACTGGATGGGTTACCCTGTACAGCCATTTCTGGAGTGCAAATGACTGACTGCTGCTCTAGGATAGTGGGGCTGAACAGCTGCTCAGCTGGAAATGTTAATCTGTTCCAGCACTTAACAGCTGAAGATCTCAAGGAAAACACAAATTTGCCATCAGGTTTTTCACTTTATGACATGAATAAAAGAGAAAATCAAAATAACCAAGAAGTATTCAATGTCCACATTATTATCTCTTATTCAACACCGAAGTCAGACATAGGAACTAAAACCTCATTTTTCTCTCTGACCCCTACCTCTCCAAAAGAAATTAATGATCCTTTTCCCCCTTTGTTCCCCACATGCTAATTGGGTATCAGAGTTCTCACTACCTCCTTACCCACAGCTGCTAGCTGCTTTTTCCTCTCTGACAGTCTAATTCTTCAGTATTATTACATTTTACTAAGAATGACTGTTTCTAACCTGTATTTGTCTTGGATTTTGCTGTGACTCGTGATAAAATCTGAGCTGAATATTTTGATTTTTTTTTTTTTCTGATAAGGCAAGATTTAATGGGAATACAATGTTTTTATTAAATCAAGCAGCATATCTGATAACTTCAGGTCTTCAAAAAAGAGTTTGCAC